ACCTCCGGTGGTCCGCCGTCGTTCGGAGGATTCGCGCAACGCGATGTCCCTATGCTGCGTGCCGGTGCGGTCCCCTAGACGGCTCTTCCTTGCCGCCCTCTCTGCCCTCGGCCTGCTCACTCGCGCCGCCAGCCAATGCGCAAACATGAAGAAGGATCCGCACTTGGCATTCGCTCGTGGCGGCCGTGCGGACTTCCGCGGTCGCAATGGCGCGTACTCTAGCGTACTATGCTTTCCTGTCAACGCCCGGCCGTGTGTCTTGTGAGCTTGTTTGTGTCTGTGTGTCGCTCGTGCGTGTCGTCATCATCTGTCTCGCGTCCAGCCATACCGCGTTGGTGTCCAGTCCGAGCCTGGCTGTTCTTCACCTTCCTACACCATACGACATAACATCAACGGCCTAGAAGCTAGATTCAGCACACGCATCTTTCTGCCACCCTTTATGTCTTGCTCGGTCAAATAAATAAATCAAAACGGTCAAACTCTGAGACGAGATGGGATTTAGGGACATGTGTCCCCGCCCTGCACGATCTTGGTGTGAGGGATCTTCAATCCGTCCCCTCACCCCTGGTCACTACCCGACACTAGAAGAGCAGCAAGAGTTGGGGCTGCGGCTACGGCTGCGGCTGCGGGAGGGGCTTGCTCGGTCAAAACTTCACGCCACAGCTTCTTAGCCCCCTTTCTGGATGCGAGGCTAATGACTGCGCTCCAAAAGTGCTCCAAGTAGCAAGTGCACCCACAGGTGGCCCACACCATCTCTACGTTAGGATATTTCAAGGGTCTTCAACGCAAAAGGGCGCCACTCCGCACTAGACTTCCCCCACCATATGCCCCCGACCCCTCGCGCACGCCGCCCAAAAGCGCCCATACGCATTACCCATCGCAAGTTGATTATCTAGATAGACGCTCGAACGATTCCTCAACTCGCTTCCTACCCCCCCCCCCCCCCCTCCCTCGAGATCTCGAGGTCCGCTGCACCTCGGGATGCGCTGGCGGATTCCCCTTCCGGAAAGGCTCGAGGGCCAGGAAGAGGTTCACTTCTGGTTCACTCCCCCCGCCCCGGCTGCCTCCTTCGCTCTAGCCCCATTGAGAGTCAGCCCTGCTTGACGGCACAACATGTGGTCGCGCAGCGGTTGCGTGGCCACCATTGTTGGCATGCCTCATAGAGAGATAGTCCGTTCTTGAGCGCTCCCCACGTCTCGTCCCTTGCCCATGCCGCGCATGCCTCCGAAGGTGTCGGGTTCGAGGCCCAGCTCGGGTTCCACGAGTCGGGTGCACAAACGACGGGGGGCCGCCCCCCCCATTCCGAGGGGACAGTATACTTGCACGCGATGGCCCGAGCCGGAGCGTTTTCGTTGCTGCTAATAAAGTCGTGGAAGTTGGCACGACAATCGCAGTGCAAGTTGTTCACGTTCTGGCAATACAAAGGAGCGTCGTGGTAAAAGTTGAACATGTAGTCGAAATGGCCCGCAGAGCTGCGGGGACCCATGCGGATGCCGAGTTGGTGTGGGTTGGGGGTATTCCCCGAGCTGCGGAAGAGCTGTATGGCCGCGCCCATAATGCCCTTCCGGTCAAAACTCAGCGTCTGCTGGTTGCCACAGGAGTATCCGGCACCATTGAGGTTGAACTCTGCGAGGCTGCCAGCGATGCCGCCACTCGTCGCGATGCTGCTTAGAGAATTGCGATCCAGGTTGGGGCACTGTACCACGTCATCGGTGTAAACACCCCCGCTGCAGAGCGCACGAATGCAGGTGATTTTGGGGTACTCACCATCGTAGCACACGAACTGGTCTGTGTAGCCAGCCCCCGAACACACGTTACCGATCTGAGCCAAGGGCTGGGGGGTGGGTGGCGTGGCAAGCGCGATGGAAGGCGTCGCGATGAATCTCTGCAGAAGTGTCGGTGGGTGAGGCCCTGATGCCGGCGACCACCAGTCCGATGCTATGTCAAACGAGATCTCCTCGACGTGGGTCACCCGGAGCATGTACCTTCCGTAGGGGTGCTCCTCGCCCTGCCCTGGGTCGTCAGGAGGGCCGAGGTAGCTGTCCCACGATACGCCGGACGGGCACACCGATAGCGTGCCGGCCGCTGGATACGTCAAGCAGCCCACGCAGAGGTCGAGTAGACTCGCGCTCGTGCCCATTTCCCACCCGACGCGCAGGCTAATCTGAGGGTACGGCGCGTAGAGCCAGAAGCCAATGGCGGCCGAGCCCGATGAGACGGGAACGGCGACCTGACTGTCAGGGTACTCGACGTACGGCGTCAGGCTCGTGTGCAGACGCTGGCACTGGAAGGAGGGGGCCGCGTTGACGGCGGCGGTGACGCAGGCCGAGGCATCGGTGCCGCCCATGACCTCCCACCTCGCGGCTGCCTCTCCATACAGAGTGATTGACGTGGCGATGTGGGCGGCCAGCCGCAGCTCGATCTCCACCCAGCAGCCAACTTTGGCAGAGAGTGAGGCCGCGACCCCGCCCGACACCGAATACTCCAGCTGTGAGTTGTCGACGGTCGTCAGCTGCCAAGCATCGATGTTTGGTGACAGCTGGCTCTGCTCTAGTCCCTGCTGGTCCGTGTTGACCTCCCACTCCCTGTCGTACTTGACGAGCAAGTTTGCTGTACCGGCGGCTTCGAAGGTCGCGTGTACTGCGAGCGGAAGCCGCAGCCTGACGCGGGCGTCGATTTCAAAGGTCAGGACCGCTCCATACGGAGAAACAGGGATGATCTTGCCATATGCGATGTCGACCGGCTTTCCGAACTTCTCAAGGAGGTCAATCTCCCTCGCTTCGTCCAACGCGGCCGCCGCCTCTGCCTGAATCTCGATGCCCGCCTCGATCGAGAAGGCGAGTCTGAGCTTTCCCAGCGAGGGAGGCAGCGCTTCAGTCGGCTCTCGCCCCTCGAGGGCGCTGAGCAGGTACGGAGGAGCGCCCTCATAGCACTCGAAAATGGTTCCTCGATAGCTGCGGGTGTCGCGAGCGACGCACCCGCTGCCGGCCGGACACGTGATTGCATTGCCGCAATTCCAGCCGTTTACATTTAATGCGCTGTTCCGCGGCCCCGCCGCATTGCCTTGCCTGGGCTCGGACTTGCAGATGGCGCAGCCCGGATTAATGTTTGAGTTGCCCTCGCACGTAGCGTGGCAAGTGCTGGACACGATTGTGTCCAGACGGCGTCCACGGGCGTCATGCTCCGCGACTAGCCGGCGGCGGGACGCCTCCTCCTGCTCCTCGACAAGCCGCTTTGCGACGGCATCGACGATCCGATCCTGGGTCATGTTGAGAGCCGCCGCAGTCGCATGAGCAACCAACCGCTGAGAGAAGGAGTCGCTCGTTCCATTTCGCTTCGCCGCGTGCAGCGCAGCAGTGAGTCGGCGGTGGCCGCCGCTCACTTGCTCCACAGCTGCGCCGGCAATGTCGCGAATGACGGAGTGCTTGACCGGCGCTGCATTGAGCTGCCGCCGGCAAGTCGAGGTGAGGAATTCGCGAACGGG